TTCAAATATATGTGTATTGCTCAATATTTATTTAGGGAACTTTATTTTTATACAATGGTACCCACAAAGTCAGTGTTCCTGGGGATTTGGATCATGGCAACTTGGTAGACAGGTCATCTAAAATTGACTCTTGTGGAGTACTATATAGATTACAACAAAGTCCATTACATGAAGGTCTGAACTGCCAAACTGTCAGAGAAAATGAAAACCCAGAGCTCCAGACCTATGGGTGCTCTTCTGCAGAGTTTTGCTGGGGTGTACCAAGTCCTGTAACCCAACAGAGGCAGCCGCTGCAGCTCTGTTCCCAGGTCCAATCAGCAGTAAAGCTAAGCATGTATTTTGTGTGTACGTGTGGCTATGTTTGTGTTTCTTGGAAATACAACACATACATGCATATGGCCAGCCACAAAGGTCAACAAAGAGAGAAAAACACAAATGCAACCACAACCAGTTTTATCTTATTCTTTCTCCAGCTACCAAGATGAAAGACCATCACTGGAAAATAAATATTCCTACACAGACACATGTGCAATGTGGATTCCTTCAGGAACAAGACTTGGACATTCAGTCAATCCAGTAACTACTCTCACACCACCACATCTGGATCCCAGGTCTCTCCCCATTGCTGGCAGCTGGGCATGTAAGCCATGAGGCACACAGCCCCACTCCAGCTGCTAGTCCACATGTTGCCTCACACACCCACACATTCCCCCACCACACTCGAAACGCACCCATTATGGAGCCCTCCAGTTACTGGCCGAGACATTCAGCCTACTTGGTAACTGGCCCTGGATTTCCTCATCACCATTTGCCTGATGCAGACACACAGGGTCATGCAGACAGGTCTCCTGGCTGAACCCCAGATGCCACCGCCTGCCCAGCAGCTACCTTGGACCTCCTAGTCCCTCCAGTAGCCAACCTGCAGGCCCTCTGGTCTCTCCAACATCCATCCTAAAATTACTGCTGTTTTGATACCTGGTTTCCAAGCCATTCATCCTGCTGGCTGGCTGGTCTGCCTTGATGTTTGCTGACGATCACACACTGACATACAGACCCACAAAACACACACACTCTGGTCTCTCCAGCCTCAGACACCCAAGACATGCAGGCTCCTGTGACCGATGGTCCTCTCTCCAGTGCCGGCACTTAAATCTCCACGCAGAGACCCCCCTCACACAGGAGAAGAGTTAGAAACAGTTTAACAAAAAGGCAGGACATGAGGCACATCGGTACAGGACACATACTGATGAGGTATGGGGCATGGCAACACAAGCACCTTGACCTGCAACCTGTTCACAGCCAACTGGCTGTTAACATCCTATCCTTCTTCCCCCCACCACCATTACTTGTTCTTTCCCAAACCACCTTAATCAGCCCCACTTTCCCTGTCTTAAGCCATTCCTCTACAAATCCCATAATAAGCCTTGTGCAATCCCAAAGTGTTCTTCCCCTGCACCCCATAATGAGTCACATACACCTGTAGACAGCTGCCACCACCCACCCATAAACCCTAGAGAGCTGCTCCCATAACAGTGATGGCTATCACCCCTGGCCCATGGGCTGATGGTGGTCATGGGACAGCCCTGGGAGGTGCTTGTTTCTCCAGCTTCATTAGTGGGGTTGCCCCACCTTGTTCCTCTGTGCTCCTTTGTGTGTGTGGGCCTCAGACTTATCACATGATCTAACCAGTTAAATGGAGCGTGGACAGTTAATAAGTACCTTGTGGCCCTGCTACTTAACCTGCATGAAGACACAAGGGGTGTATAAGTTCAATGCGACTGTGATTCTTCCTCAGACCCCTACCATAGCTTTAGCTCATCAGTCTCCTGCCTCACACTGCAAGCTGCAGACAGCACTGTCTCAAGTTTTCCACAAGTCTCAAGGGACATCAGGTTTCTTTTAATGTTCTCTTGTGAAGAAAGAATATTTGCGCCAGTGGAAGCATAACAAACATTAAAGGAAAATATTTAAAAATAAAAACACCACTACACAGAGGACAGAAACCTTCACATCTCCTGTATTACCTAGCTCTTGGTTGCATGTTTCTTATCTTGAAAAACCTTGTCTTTAAACCTGACAGAAACAAGCTCTATTCAAGCCATTTGCGTACACCAACCTACAATGCAGTATGGCAGTCGTGAAGTCCCTATGACATTTTTTTCATTTCATACAGAAAGCATTTGGGAATGTTATGTCCAGCTCATCTTGAAAATGTAAGACGACTTCCTTCAAAGTCTTCTGGTCATCCAAGTGCATTCTTGAAGTCTGGCTCTTGGTTTCAGAATTGTCAGAAGAAACTATACCAACTCGCAAAACACCTTTGAGCACTTGAGGCTGTAGTGAGGCAACCAGGAGATCAACCTATCTATAAAAAAGAAAATTAAGTATCTTGCTGCCAAATGCTGTCACACCTACAATTAAAGCACACCACCTGAGGTGGAATTCATTATCCTAAATTAGGCACCACAAAGTCTTCCTCCACTAAGTGGGATGCACAGTCATCCCGCCAAGCAGTGCCAGGCTTGAGTGACCCAGTAAAAAACAGTGGGCACTGGTACAATAAAAACAGTCTCTCTCCTGGGTCTAGATGCCCAATTGCTGCTTGCGATAGAAGTAAATAAAAAGGAGGAAGGCTTGCAGTTTGATTTGCCTTTCATCTTTGAGTCCCCTAATGATCTACTACAGCATTAGCTTTTTCTCTTACCCATTCTCCTACATCCTTTAAACTTGCATCCTCGGCTGAACAGTCGCTCAGCTTCAGAGATTTGAAAAGATTTTGTACATGCCTCCCTCTCACCTGCATTACCTGTCGCTTGGTAATATGGCATAATTCACAAGTTCGAGATGTGGCTTCAAATGATGTCAAACTAAGGAGACTAACCTAAATCACCCACTGCCTGGATAGGTGTGCTAACAATCCAATTTATAAGCAAACCATATCACTTCCGTTTCAGCAAAAAATGTGGTTGCTGACCATAATGTTATAATCTGTGTATTAGTCGTAGCCTAAGCAAACTTAATAAACCAGATTCTTGGTAGGTTTGAAACCCAAGTGTTGCTAAGCATGAGAAATACCCATGTTCAGCTTTGGCCAGACAGAGCACCCCAGGCATCTTCCTGGGGCCATTCTATCCCCTGAGCATCAGCACTTAAAGCCTATTGATTCCAAAACCCCAGGCAGGAACAACAGCGCAGGCTACTACAGCACACCAGCTTACAAAAACAAGCTGAGGGGAGATGCAGCTGAGAAAACATTTATCTACAACCACAACCTTGAAAGTTAACATTACTGCACACTTAAAGTAGCAGGATTATTTTTAATTAGAGAAAAATCACCTGACAGTGGCAGAATCAAATCTGTGAAATACAGGCAATGCTGTGCAAAACCATTAAGTGATTCCCCTTTCTACTTTGTAGACATGTATCGCTGTTGCTTCCAGCATAATTAAGAAAGCATTCCAGAGGAGCAAAGCTGCTACATAAGCCTCCAAAACGGCCATTTTCTTCTGAAGTTGTAAAATAACTCTTGTGTGGGTCGGACACCTAGTGATACACACTTCATGAAGAGTAATTCCATTATTGGATACAAAAGACTCAATTGAAAAGACAAACCCCACTTTTCAATATGATGGGGACACTTTAACGAAACACCTACAATTAAAATACTAACAAAATTTCATAGGTAAGTAGATATTAATCTTTAGGCTGAAGGAACCAATCATTAACCTTCAGAGTTGTTTTGTGCAGTGACTTTACTAATCAGTGCTGCTCTTTCTTCTACTGGACTTAGCACTTCCCCACAGACCCTTGCAACCATCATATGCCCCCGTTTCCTGATCTGCTGACAGAACAAAAGCAGGAAAAAAACAGAAAACCAAGAAATACTGAGTTCTGCCAAGGTACCCTCCATGGGCATGTCAAGATACTTTTCCTCCAAACTTCTCCAATGTCCTTCCAACAGCTCCGGAAAATCTTTCCAGCCTCACCACAAACTGTATTTTTACATCATCATGATGCTTGCAAGTTTGAACTTCAGCTGTTTACTTTCTGGAAAACCAACGTGGCTGTTCTAATCTCCATTGCATTCTTCACATTGTTTTAGGATCAGTTATCTTGAATTCTGTTTTTTGTGAGGCAGTCCTCCACCAAAGGGGTTTGATACTCACTGCTTCCTCAGATGGTCTGTGCTCTCATGCTGAGAAAAGAAAAATCTATCCATTTAGCCTAAATAATGGTCTCCTGACCTGATCTTTCAACTAGAAAAATACCATTAAGAATTTAAATAGCCCCAGGAGGGGTGGCTTAGGTGCAATGAAATATATCGGTATCCTTAATCACTTAATAAAATACACATTTTACCAAGATGCCTCTAACAATGTAAGCCACTCTATAAAAACTGGAATATCAGCACTAAACTACTTGCAAAAGCTGCAATAGATTACAGCAGTGTGATCATTGCAACTTTCTGTAAAGGTGACTCTTACCACCTATATTTGGCCCAGCTTTAGGAAAATTGTTACCTTTCTAAACTGTGTGCAAACATCCATATTTAAACAGGATGTTAATAGTTGGTACCTTACAAAAAAACAATCGAGAGAAGTAAATTTAGCATCATTTTGTCCCACTTCTCATTTGTTTCCAAGACTGAATTTTCATAACCAAGGTGAAGTGTATTTATTTACAAGCTGAAATATACGGACTTTGACATTTTCTTGGGCTTCATTCTGTCCTCCTAAGCTGGAGGATGAAGTTTGGTACACATAATGGTATTAATAAACACACTCTCTTACTGCAGCGTGTAAACATCCAGATGCTAGCTTCCCACACTGTATCCATCTTGAACACCACGCTTCTCCGTAAAAAAAAATAAGTCATGCATCTGCACAACACATGCCTTCCACCCACTTCCCATTCTCGGGTTTAGGGTTTTTTTTCCTTAATAGAAAACTAATGCGGCAGGGGATTAATGTGCAGGGATGGGTGGAAATTCTGCTGCTTACTCCACCAGGAACCGGACCATCCAGCCGAAGGTGAGAGGAGCTGGTGCCCACCAGCGCTTCCCCGCATGACCCGGCGCGGCGCAGCCAGCTACTGCTGACCCGGAGGGTGAGCTGCTGCTGCTCGCTAACTTCACGCTCACCAGGCTGAAACCCGAGTTGCTGCCCTTCGAACAAAGAAGTGATGAAGTTACTCGCGAAGACAAGCAGGACGCGCCGCGGAGCGCCCCCGTGTCCAGGCTGCTGGGCACCGGCCAGCCCCACGTGCAAAAAAAAACCAGGAAGAAAAATTTTGGAAATTATCTCCGTTACAGCCTCATGCTACCAGTGTCTCACGCCTGGAAAGTGGGTTTGATACCCTCTCGCCCCCTAGAACAGAGCTTGAACTGGTTTAGAGTAGCGACAGCGTGTGGCATCCTTCGGGTCTGCCTGCTCCCCTCCTTTCTGCGGG